AGTTTTTGGAGAAGGCGTTTGTGACACACTGTATCGAAGTCCTTTGATAAATCTACAAAAACGCAAATGAATGGAATTTTTTTGTACATGACATTATAGATATCCGTGGTTGAAGCATACATCGCATCCTCTGTACTTCGACCTTCCCTAAATCCAAACTCTAAATTTTTCAAAAAATGCATACATTTGTGTCTTCTCGATTTTCTCAAAAATTTTAGAAAACACTGGCAACAAAGAGACTGGCCGGGAGGTTTCGATTTTTGCCCTATTTCCATTCTTGTACAAGGGCTTGATGATTCCTAACTTCAAGGAATTTGGAAATTTACCTTGATGTAAACACGTGTTTATTACAAATTTCAGAGGAGCAGTAATGACATTTTTTAGTTTTTTTACTGTTTCAGATCTAATAGAATCCCATCCATGTGATTTTTTTTGTTTTCAAATTACTCATCACGTCCATTACTTCTCCTTCACTCACAGGTTTCAGGAATATGCTATTACCTAGATTGTCGATATTTTCCGAAAAATTTGGTGGTGCCGTTATTTTTGACGCATATTTGTGTCCCAGTTCACTATAATATATGTTGAATTGATTTGCAATTTCATGTTTAGAATTTAGGATTGGGTCATTAACCTCTATAGATTGTATTTTTGTTTTAGAATTTGGTTTTGCACAGATTTCGTTAATCGCATTCCATAATATGCTAGAAGTATTGGGACTTCTGAAAATGATTTCATTCATGTAATTTTTTTTGAAGTTCTGATTTTTCTACTGAGATTATTCTTGAGAATACTGTACCTCTCTTTCAGGAGTATGAATTCAACCATGTTGAGAAGGTTGAGGTTTTATAAAGTTTGCATGGAACAAATAGGGCTATGGCTAAATCCATAATATGGTAAAAGTTGTTAGTAGCTACACTGATAGGTAATGTTTAGATCTAAACACTGACCATTCGATTAAAGCCAGGAAATTTTCAATCTGAATAGTCTGCATTCTTGAGATCATAGTAGACTTTACAATAATTTATATTATTTGTATTACTGAAGCCTATGTGTAGTTCAAATGAATGAACTTTGTGATTAATGGAATTAGAAAACAAAACAGTAATTGATTGAGTTACTATCAATTATACAACGTTAGAAAATAAGTTTCAACAAGAATTTTGTATGTTAAAATGTTGGAAACAATTGAGAAAGGGTAATTATACCAGAAGTTTTTTGGCCTAAATTATGATTGGTGCATGAGGTATCGGGTAAATTGGGTAACTAGATCTTAGATCTTCAACGACATGTAGGTACGTGTGATAGATACCTACTTCTCGTCCGAGGACTGAGGTGGAATAATAACTCTTTTTGTAGTTGCATGAACACAAAATAAATAGTTGCTCCATATCTTCATTCTATAAGCTTAACTGACTTGCCTTCAAATACTTTTTTTACGACGATTAATACACCACTCGTCTTTTTCACTTGTTTTATCATTCCTATCATATCTAACGTATTGAAAGAGTCCAAATTTAATCCACAGTTTGATATAAGCTTTCAGTAGAAACTATTAGGTCCCGATAAATCGATAATATACAATCTAATTGAAATAAATTACGTTCCTTTATTATAAAGGTGAGAATAGGTTAGTTCTAGTTTTCTAGTTCTAATTTTTATTTTCTATTTACTTATATTTATATCTATGATTATTTAGGTTTTTCCTTTTGCTTTCCCAAAAAGGGAAGAAAAATCTTCCAAACAACTACAGACCAGTAGCTTTGCTATCAGTGAAATCAAAAATTATAGAGAAAGCCGTAAACCACCATATCCTAAAATATTTGAGCAATCATCAATATGGCTTTCGGAAACAAAGATCAACAGGCGATCGTGTATCGTATGTCACCCATATTTGAAATAACGCAATTGAGAAACATGGAGTCAAGAGCTGTCGCACTTGAAAGTATAAAATTCTGATAGAAGTAGCATTATTCATACTGGAAACTGCATGCCTGATAAAACACATTCACAGCTTTGAAGCAATCTAATCAAATTATAGTACTTGGCAGGTATATATTTATAATGGTTGTAAAATATATAACAATCTACTAGTGGAAATAAGAGAACTTAAAAACTCAACCATCTATAAATAGGCATTGAAAACTTTAGTCAGTGAGAAACCATACTACTGTGTTGCTGACCTTTTTAATAAAACATTTTAAATCAGATTCAATTACAATATTGAAGTCACCTTGTGTTACCCTGGTTTGGTGTAGCATTTGATTTGATGTACCTTCATTCATAACTTTCTAACCAATTAATGTTTTTTATATGTCTCGTTTTAAATTATGCAGGTTTATCTTCTTACTGATATGTGTTTTTATTGTGTCTATTTTTTAAGCTACTAACACAAGATACAGTTTGTCAATAATAACACAGGCCAATAAAAAAAATGTGAAAACTTTTTGAACAGATTTACGTAAATCTTATTAATTTTTATATGTTGAAACCATATTTCATCGCAGTTTTTTTTATCACCCACCATTCTTTCGCAATATGATATGATTTTTTTTAATATGATATGATGATGATATTACTTCAAAAAAAATTAGGGAAGTTTGATATATAGGTACAAAATCAGTAAAACATATTTTTATAAATTGGTTATATTTTCGCTTACAATAATATTTAATTACTTAAATTGATAATATAACATGCTTGAATTGTAATATTTTTTATATTTTCTCTCCCCTTTCTCCGTAAAATTTCCTGCGAAGCTTTTTTGCCTATGAATTGTGTTTTGTTCTCTGTGAAGTGACCAACAGTAATAACCCATCATTTTGATATTCCACCGTCCCTGGTATCGTAAAATCTCCATCTCTTATATGTCTTTATGAAGTCGTTTCCCTTGCTTTTCACTCATATCACCTAAGTTTTTAGGAAAAAAGTCAAGATGATTGTGTAAAAAATGGACTTTAAGGCTCATCAGTCAACCAAGAGTTTTAAACTTGTTTGTCATGTTAGCCGCAAGTTTATAGTTCGGGTCTTTGGTATCACCCAAAAACTTAATCACAACTTCTTTAAATGATATCCAAACCTTCTGTTCCTTCTCATTCATTGTTGCTTCGAAGTTTGAATTGAACATTAATTTATGGATATCAGGCTCGACGAAAATCCCTTCTTTCAAACTTTGATGAATGAGGAAAATTCACACAAATTTTAAAACAATCACCATCTTCAGGCAAAGCTTTATCAAATTGTTTCATTAAACACAACTTTATGTGCTGCCCAGGGAGAAAATGTTCTTGAGTTTCGTGTAAAATGTTGATATCTGCTTCATGAGCAGTATAGTTGATTTTCTCCTTCCTTCATATGAATTGAATGTGCCACAGGCACTGAAGCAGAAGTATGTCCGTTATTTAATAAAACACCTTTCAAGCTTGTTTTGATGAGTTAATAAAAAGTCTCCTTTCTCTGTCTCTCTCGCTAAATATGAATAGAGTGTATTATACCATTTTAGGCGATATTTTTTTTCATTTATTGATTCGACAATTTCAATTTATCATGGAAAAGTTATTAACAGATAAGTTCTTCAAACAAATACCAGAGATGAATGATACATTTTTTGACGCTGCTTCTGAAATTTTTTTATTGATTGTTTTATATTCCGATAAATGTTTAAAACATTCTTAATCTTATCGCGGAACTTGAATTGACAAAGACGCACAATACCATGCTTATACATACATAATGTTATAAAAATTACAAAAATTGTAGTAATAATAATGGCAATAAGAATGATAAATTATTTAGAGTACACAAATATTTTGACAAACAGTTTGGAAAAAACACGTCGAAAACAGTGCTCAAATTAGTCGACTTCATAACTGAAGCTTTTGAAAACAAAGAATCAACACTTGGCATATTCCTTGATCTGAGCAAGGCGTTCAACTGCGTCTCTACTGACATTCTATTAGAAAAACTTAGATACTATGGCTTTGTAGGTATAGCACATAATCTACTGTCATCATATCTAAGTGAGAGAAAGCAATGTGTATTATATAATGAAAAACTCAGTAGCTTACAAACGATCTTGAATATTGTTCCACAAGGTAGTGTGCTTGGGCTAGTACTTTTTTTTTATTTATATCAATGACCTGCCAAATTCAATGACAATGTTCACAATGCTATTCGCCGATGACACTTCCTTCGCCATTCGGAAAAAAATATTGAAGAGCCATCAGAATTAGAAAAGCGAGTTATTCAGGAAGCTACGGACTGGTTCATTGTGAATAGCCTATGTGTGAATGAAAGCAAGACCCAAACAGTTATGTTCTCGCTGTCTCATAATCCCCCAGTTAATGTAAAATGTCTTGGTATAACTATTGCAACTCCAGCGAGATGATTGCCAAGACATATTGTTGTTCATTTCAACCATCAATAAACTTATCGAAACAGAGAGCGGAATTGTCTGTCGTGACCATTATTTTATTATTTCGGAGACATTTATCTTTTTGGAGAAAACCGATGCCTGGGTTTTCGTGGCATTGTATTGAACCTGGTTGCTTTCACCTCAATTCAAAATCACTTCTAGATCCTCATTAAGATTTGCAACCTCCTACTGCCGGTGAAAATGTGTCCGCAGCCGATGTCCTGGAATCCAAATGGAATGACGAGACAAGTGTGCTGTCGTCAGCAAAACTATATATTGGGTTCTTGGTTTTATCCAACGAGTCGTTTATATACAATAAAAAAAGGGTTAGAGACAATATGGGTCCCTAGGAAACACCAACGTTGATGGTAAAAGTATTCGAAAGATATCCATAGACGGTCACTTGCAGGGAACGTTCTTTCAGAAAGCTGGAGAGCCATATACAAAAATGATCCGACAAGCCATAACATCGAAATTTGGCCAGCAAACCTTCATGCCACACACGGTCAAAGTAATGTCAAGCGCAACAGCTGCATGTTTCTCGATTTCGATTGCGTTATTTCAAATATGGGTGACATACTGTTGGAGTTCGAGAGTTGCAGCATCGTTTGTGATTTTATTACATGCTGTATATTTTATGTCAATTTGAGTTTGTTAGTTACAAGTTTGTTTACACATATGATAGGACAATTGTTTTTGAGATAGTAAAAATAAAACTGTAAAAGTCCAAAAAATACCTCAGTTCTTCTATATAATTCTCCACACTCAATATAAAATGCCGACCGTGACAGGACAATACGTGGAGAATCCATCAAGGTTGAAGAAAGAACGAGGTATCTTGAGGAAAATGTTTAAAAAATTATGTAACGAACTGGAACTGAATGCCCAGCCGATAGCAAAGCCTAGTATACTGGCCCTCTTAACACAGATTGAAGGTAAAGGGTCCAGATTATTCATCATTGATGAGCAAATCCAAATGGTGACAACAGATGATGAAGAGTTCGAGAAGGAGTATGAAGCGAATGAAAAGTTTCGTGAGAATTTGATAATGCATAGGTCGAAGTGCGAGTTTGCCCTAGTAAATATACCGAATCAAGATATAGGAAATGCCATTACAATTGGAACATCAAATGTCAAGCGACATTTCAAATTGCCAAAAATTCGACGGGGATGTTCGAAAATGGATTGGATTCTGGGGGCAATTTCGAAAAATCCATGAAGACACTGAGCTTGATAATGAAGACAAATTCCAATATTTAGTGCAGTCCATGGAACCAGGTAGTGTAGCAAAAGCTTTAGTTGACAGTTTTCCCCCATCTACAACCAACTACGAAAAAGCCGTTGATCAACTGAAAGCCAGGTTTACACGAGACGAATTTCTTATAGAGGTTTACGTCAGGGAACTGTTGAATTTGGTATTGAAACAGGCCACCAATAACAAATCAGGTATGTCATTAGCTTCTTTATTCGACAAATTAGAGACACAATTGAGAGCTTTAGTCATTAGGAGTAACTAGTGATGAATATGCTGCTATGTTGTTTTCACTAGCCGAATTTGCCCTTCCAGAAGATTTTCTAAGAGCTTGGGAGAAACACAGGAGCAATATCAAAGCCAATAATTTGGGTTCTAGTACAGATGAATCTATTAATTATTTAAATACTTTATTAAATTTTCTCCGTTCCGAAGTGGAAAGTGAAGAACGCATTAGCCTAGCCAAAACCAGTTTTGCTGTTGAAAAGGACACAAAGAATTGGACGAAAAGTAAGCTATGTACTGAGAAAATTAAATACACCGGAGGTGAGCCTAGTCTTTACACAACTGCCACAATTTTTCCGACAGAAAAACATGGTAAGAAAGTTCCATTTTGTTTATTTTGTGAAGGTAAATCTCATTCAAGACAAGATTACATCAAAGCTAGGTCATTTTTTGTTAAAGAAAGAAAAGAAATTGTTTTAAAAAAGAAAGTTTTTAAGGGGTGGGAAAAGTTAGGAATATTGAACAAATACATACTGATATACAGAATAAAGGAGAACATTATATTCCGCATCATTCAGTTATGAAAGATTCAAGTTTCACAACAAAAATTAGACCTGTGTTTGATGCATCATCTAAAGATAAAAACGGAAATTCTTTAAATAGTTGTCTAATGAAGGGACCAAACATGATTGAACTCATTCCAATAATTCTTCTCAAATTCAGACTTGGGATGATTGGAGTCATTTCTGACATCAAAAAGGCATTTTTGCAAATAAGTATAGCTGAAGAAGATAGAAATATGCTTAGATTTTTCTGGTGGGAAGATTCTTCATTAAAAATAATGAAAGTTTATCGCCACACTAGAGTAGTTTTTGGTATATCATCAAGTCCATTTTTGCTAGCAGCTACACTATCTTATATCTTACCATTTAAAAATGTCTCCTGAAAATTTAAAAGAGACAGCTTTGAAACTCATGGACTTTTTTTATATAGATAATTGTGTAACTAGTGTCAATACTAGAGAGGAATCAGAAGCTAGAATATTGATGTCATCTGGTGAATTTGATTTAAGGGGATGGGTTCACAATGGCCCACAGATTTTTCTAGAAAATGATGAAGAATTACCCATAAAAGGGAAGATAACTTCAGTACTGGGGTTACAATGGAATTTCAAAAATGATACGTTGTCATGCGATGTCCATGTATTAAATGAATCAATAAACATTCCAACTACAAAGCGGGGTTTATTATCAGCAGCACAACGCATCTTTGACCCAATTGGGTTCACTTGCCGTGTAACTTTGGTTCCAAAGTTACTATTACAAGAAACGTGGAAATTAAAAATAAATTGGGATTCTAAACCATCTGAGGAAATTATTGAAAGTTTTAGAAAATGACTCAAAGAAATCCAATTAATGCATTTCTGTAGCATACCACGTGCCCTATTCAAACTGAATCAATCCCAGCGAAATGCTTTATTGCATATTTTTTGTGATGCAAGTAAGTTGGCGTATGCCCCTTGCATTTTTTTACGTATAGAAGAAAATGGAAACATTCACAGTCATCTATTACAAGCTAAATCGAGAATATAAAAAGTGGCTCTTTACCACGATTGGAATTATTAGCAGCATTGATAGGAAATAGGCTATATATCAATTCGTAATTCAGGTTGAATTCTTATTTTTGGAGCGATTCTACAGTTGTTCTCACATGGATGAAAACAAAGTCAAATTGGACCACCTTTGTTATAAATCGAGTAAATGAAATAAGAGCAAGCACAAATATTAATCAGTGGAATCATATTCCGGGAGATATGAATGCCGCTGATCTCCCATCCCGAGGATGTAGTTGTAAGCGTCTATTAGAATCCAGATGGTGGGAGGGTCCTGAGTGGCTCAATAAAGATATGCAGTTTTGGCCAGCATTAAATCAACAATTTTCGGATGAAAAGGCATATGAGTAGTGCAGAAGAAATATAATTTCACAATTAGTTAGCCAAAACGATGTGACTTCTGCTTCATTCAATTATTTCTCAAGTATTCGATAATAGTCAGAATGGTTGCATGGATGATTCGTTTCTCTGAAAGATGTCGTAGAGTGAAAATGCATCATGATGAGTTGTTGAATGATGAAGTTTGTTAAGGCGGAAATTTGTCTACCTAAAATTATTCAAAATGAAAGTTTTGGAAGTACAACTACTGTAGAAATACCCAATATCAATGTTTTTAAGGATGAAAGTGGATTAATTAGAGTAAAAACCAAACTTTATTTTTCTGAAGATGTCCAGTGTTCCAAGTTTCCTATTATTTTGCCTTACAAACATATCATTGTAAGAAAATTAATTAAATTATTTCTCGTCATTGTTGAGTGCAAGTGCTTCTACAAACAATTCGTGAGAAATTTTGGATAATTGGGGCTAGAGGAATGGTCAAAGATGTTATTTCAAAGTGTGTTGTATGCAAAAGGTACAGAGTCAAGTCATTAGAAACTCCGTTTGCTCCACTTCCTAGGGATAGATTGAAAATTTCCGCAGCTTTCGAGTTAACCGGTACAGAGATTTTGCAGGACCTCTGTATTTGAAAAATGGTGAAAAGGCTTGGATTTTTACTTGTTCCGTTTATCGAGCATGCCATTTTGAATTAGTGCAGTCTCTTTCAACTGAAGCTTTTCTACAGGCACTAAGACGATTTATTGCTAGGAGGGAAAGAGTATTCCGATAACGGAACCAAATTCGTGGGAGCCAATAACCAAATGAAAAACTTAGATTGGAAAGAAATTTTGAAACACTCATCAGTTCAACGAATTACCTGGAAATTCAACGTCCCTTCAGCACCCTGGTGGGGTGGATGGTGGGAGCGTATCGTGAGAAAAATCAAGGAACTTTTGAGAATAAATCTAGGAAAGAAAACCGTCGATTATGAAGAACTTCTGACACTGCTTTATTGTAATTGCGATTCGATTATAAATTCAAGGCCACTCACATACATTTCGGACAATACAGATGAACTAATTCCCGTAACACCGTCATCTTTTCTACAGAGCATCCCAACCTCAGAAGTACCAGATTTAGATCAAATTGGAAGAACAAGCATCAAGAAGAGATTCCGATATTTGCAGAAAATTCGAGAAAATCTTCGTGAGAGATTCAGGAATAAATATCTGGCAATGAAAATGTAATAAGTTGAAGAGAATTAGTTGGCCGATGGAAAGAATAATAGAAATTTACCCTGGAAAGGACAAGATTGCCAGAATAGCTCGAATCAAATTAGCTACAGGTGAATTAATACGCCCGTTTCAACGAATCTACCCACCAGAAATTTCAAACTCTAATGGAGAACCAGAAATACTAGGCAAACTCGTAAAATTGCCCATTTCAAATTCCAAAGTAACTCCGTATGAAGACGAAATAACCAAAGAAGATCATCCAAATCAGGAAAGCAAACAATCTTCAACTACAGGAGAAGAAAGGGTTTCAGAAAAAGCCGTCCCTGTGTGTACTAGGTCAGGACGATTGGTCAAGATTCCTGATCGATATATGAGTTAGCTGTTTTGCAATTCAACATTGCAAAAGGTGGGAGAATGTTGGAGTTCGAGAGTTGCAGCATCGTTTGTGATTTTATTACATGCTGTATTTTTTATGTCAATTTGAGTTTGTTAGTTACAAGTTTGTTTACACATATGATAGGACAATTGTTTTTGAGATAGAAAAATAAAACTGTAAAAGTCCAAAAAATATCTCAGTTTTTCTATATAATTCTCCACACTCAATACATACGATAGAAGGTCTCCTATTGATCTTTGTTAATACATACGATAGAAGGTCTCCTATTGATCTTTGTTTCCGAAAGTCATACTGATAATCGCTCAAGATGTTAAACCCTTTAAAATATTCAAGGATATCATAATTGTTTACGAGTTTCTCCATGATTTTTGATATCACTGATAGCAAAGCGACTGGTCTATAATTATTTGGAAGATTTATTTGCTTTTTTTGGGAATAGACTGAGCGCGAGCAATCTTCCAACAAGAAGAAAAAAACCTCTTTCTTGTAAGACAGGTTGAAAAGTCTGCAAAATATCTACTGGTGCGAATTCATTGGCGCACATTTTAAGTACGATGGCGGGCACTCCGTCAGAACCAGACGCCTTGTTGATATTAAGCTGTTTCAAAATTCGCCTGATCAGACGTCGAAAAGTAATTTCCGGCATTGTGGATTCTAGTGTGGGAATAGTGGAAGGTGTTTTTTCCCAGAAAATCGACTGTGGAGTGGGACGCAAATTGTTTAGAGTAGATTTGATTTTTCTATGGCTGTTGTTGCAAAATTAAACCATCCGCTTCTGTTAGTGTTGGAATTGTGGATTTTGTAAAGTTTTGATTAACTACTGATTCAGCTACCGACCAGATAGATCTAGACCCGTTGGGATTGGCAACCAGTTTATGCCTATTACTCTGATTGTGAAGTTTTTTGCTTTCATTTAATCTACGTTTGCAGCTATTGCGAACAATAACAAACCTTTAAAAGCTTCAAAAAGATGTGTCACAAAACCCCCCTTTCCATTTAATTTTTTTTCCAGAAGGCCCCCAGTCGCCATCTTGAAAGTTTCATCTGTCAATTTCACTTCAAAATAAAGTATTCATGCATTAATTTCATCATCCCAAATTTCAATTTTTTGAGTTGACCCCTTAAAATTATTAAAGGGGGAGGGACGTTAAAGATATGCACTGTATTTACCACCCCAGAATGCTATTCTATATCTGTATATGTATATCTATAATTGCATAGTCTGTACTTCTGAAACCCTAGTTCATTTAAAACTGTCCTGAGACTATAACATTCAAAGGCAAATTTTTGTTGAGCGGGATCTCATATTACTCAAATTTTAGTGTTTCATATATCTGGAGACCCAAGAATTTCATAGATAAGCTACCATCAATAGGCTGAAAGCTGCTCGGACAAACTGCATTCAAAAGTAGTGAGTATTTTGGCTACAAGATTGGCATCGCACCACAGTTTGACTGTCTAAAGATTACACTCTAGTTTTATATTTTGTTCATGTCAAAGAAATTTGTGTTATCATCGGCGAACATTGTGAATCTTTGTTTGTGTAGGGGATAGAATGGGGCACACAATTGATCCTTAGAGTACTCTTACATTCAGTCTAATACATATGGAGTTTGTTAATTTCCCAACAAACCGATTTCTTCCAATTTTGTAAGAGTATATATATCCAATTTTATTCTACACTTCTGAATCCATGATGGTGGATTCAATGATTGACCCAGTCAAAAGCTCAGGACAGATTGCAAGATACCACAGCCAGAGATTCGCCATCATCAATGTTATTATAGATCTTTTCAAAAAACTGAATACTGCATCATTTGTGTTCTTTTAATCTTTAAAACCAAATTGATGAGCGTTAATTTTATTTGTTTAGAATTCAAAAATTGTATTATTCTGTACTTGAAAAGCTTTTCAATCATGTCACAAATTACTTAGGTCTCCATGATACCTCTCCACCGACATTTTGAAAATCGGGGGAAACTCCTTGTTGAAAACAAGAAGTGTATGAGAGTGGCTAGGACCTTCGAAGCATTGTGTGATAAATTTTCAAAAACATACTACTTATTGTTGAAGCTTCTTATAGTGTGTTTTTCTGGGCAATACTTTTTAGTATTATCTTTTTAGATGAAAAATTGGAGAAACTTTTGCCGATTTCTCATAAGGATCTTTTGAAAAATCCAATTTATTTTCTATAGAGAAATTTTGAAGAATATGACAAAGTACTTTCTAAATATAGAAGTTTACAATATGTAAATATGAATAGGCTTGATCCCCTTAGTTCATGAATAATATCAACTTCACTGCATCATAATTTTTCACCATCATAAGTGGTTCTGGTTCACTTTGAAATTATTTGTAATGATAACCCTTCAAGGCTACATAAAATTTTCCACATAACCAAATTTCATAATTTTTCTAGACTGAACCTCAACAAGAATGGTATTGAGTGTCAACCACATTCAAAAAACTTTACAGGATACTATTGTTAGTAATCAATGTCTTTTAATGGATCAATTTACATTATAAGAAACGGGTTCAGATAAATACATTTTATTGAATTTACGGACAAAAAGAAATAAAAGAATTCTGGTATAATCAACACTATGTAATTACAAACGAAGGTTTCATTATAGAACACCATTCCAATAATTTAATTTTTCGAGAAGAAATAATATTTTATTGCGACGTTCACATAATGTCATTAGTAGTAATAAATTCTAAAACATAACGATGCTTTGTAGACAAAAATATGTTTATTGTGAATTTAAAGAAAAAAGTATCACATACAGTCCAAAGTTGCAAAAATCTATGTACACTAATCAACCAAGAGTTGGTCGAAAATAAAACTAATACCTAATCAAGGTAAATAATTTGTGGTACAAAAATATTTGTAAAAACTTGATTCAGACTACACAAACATTGAAGATTTTTGCTATGAAATTTCAATTATATAAAAATAATTTATTATAGCTCTAACTTTCAATTCAACTCTTGAGATTATTAAAAAATTATGTTAAAACAATAACTTAATTATTTTCTTCAACTAAGAGGAAGGAGGCGTGTGTAAAGCAATATGCAAGGCCTGCTGTAATTCAGGTGCCAAAGATTGTACCACGCTTTGGAAAAATGATTCGTTTGATTGAACCTGTCTAACAATATTGACCAGTCTGAATCCTTCTGGTTTACTTGCTTCTATTGCCTCTCTGAAGAATGCTTCTGCTATTATATTAATTATCCTTGGAATATTCGAATTATTGGCTCCTGAAAATGGAAAGTAAATAAGAAATGTTAATGATGTTACGTTCACAATCAGGATATGTTTCCACTGCAAAAACGTTTTTGTATCAAGAGTAGGTGAATCCACGCATGGTAGCATTAAAAAAATGCTTTCAACATAATCCTTTATTGAAGCACAAAAATCCCAGAAAGTCATTTACTTTTCATTATAAATTTTTCAAAGTTTAACATAGGTAAAAATTGTAAAAAAATTACTTTCCGATATTTCTATAGTTAAAGAAATCAACATTTTCACAAAATATTTGTTTTTTTGTGTAAAATTGCTCAAAATCTAAACATGATTGTTTCTGCCCAAAATCTAAACATGATTTTTTCGCCGTAGACAGTTATGACAGTGTCAACAACTAAAGTTTTGCTCTATCTTCACTGAATTGTGAGTGTCCCCCCATATAGTGTAGCTATTTGTCGAGTATTTCATTTTGATCTGGGTCTATTAGGGACAACCTTGAAATATCATTTCTTCAAATTTGGAGCTCGTTATTCAAGTAGTGAATATTTGATTACATAAGTTCCTCAATATTTTCACGATAAGTTATGAAAAGTCATAAAAAGTCACTTTGAAAATGCAGGAAAGGTTATTAAATTTTTCAAGTTTCTACCAACACGAACTATTACCAAATTACTCAAATGTGAAAAGTTTATCCTAAGTAAATGGAAAAAAGTTGAGATGTACATACCATCCACATTTTAGGGGAAAATTCAGAATTATGAACACTAATAACATGAATTATTTTCGATCTTTTTCTCAGAAATCAAATTATGTTGAATTAAATCAATTCAACTGAAGTTTTCAAAATGTTCACCATAATAATTATTGGAGCAACAGGTTCTAGTTTTATTATCGAACATGACATGGAGTTCACAGCCTTCAGATTTTTTTTATAAGAATACCATAGAAACACGACGTCACAGTTTTCAAGGCAGGTACCAAAATGCCAAATACATTCAGTTTTCATTCTTTATACTTCAAACTGTTTGGATGGCAATAATTATTGTCATAGAGAAAATGATTTTTTTGTTACAAAACCCTAGTACTTATCAAGACAATTTGCTTAGCAAAATAATTACAAAAATTGTTTGAATAAAAGAATTTTGGCTTTTTATTTCTTTATCTTCAAACATATAATGCGAGAATCCTTCAAAGAAAGGAAGAGAGAAATAACAAAAAAAGGAAGCAAGAAATAACAAAAAAATATAGAAAATGTCACATGGAGTCACGTCTAGCAAATATGTAGACAGAGGCATCTTTACAATATTTTATTGGCTGAGAATTCACAAACGAGCAATGAAGTGTGAAGCAGGTACATTATTGTGGTGTGAAATCCATGAATTGTTTATCCACAAATCTAGTCTTTTTTTTGGGTTGCTTCACGCAAATAGTGTTGACCTCGTAGTAAGAATGCATGGTGTATTAACGCTATTAAAATCGAAGAATACACAACACTTTCATGTTTGACGGCACTTGTCGAGACTTTTACAGTCTTTGAGAATCAGAATCCCTTCAGTGGGACGATTAATCCCTAGTTTCGATTACATATTCGTAAATCCATATTTTGTCACCTGTCCATTTGTCTTGATGATCTTAGTGACTCCCACAGAACAAAAAAATAATAAATACAAATAAACATTTCATGATACTTCAGCGGTATGTACATCAAGATAAAAAAATTATTACAATCGTATTCTCTAAACCCATGAAATAAAAAAAATCCCTTTAATTTCTGAACATACCTCGTATTCAATAGCAGCCTTAGGAATTTTGTCTGAATTGAAATTAGTTATTTCAAAAGAACTTTCTCTTTTGTGAATTTTAATGTTCATAGTTGTTTCGAAAGGGTCTTTCTTTCTAGTTTTTATCTGAAAGAAACTTATGTGCATAATCTACTAATTTTTGAAAAGAATTCATTTTCAAGATGATATGCTTTTTCCTTCTTCGGAAGATTTCCACATTTGTAGTTTCAAAATGGAAATTATTAATCTAAGGTACTCAGTGACAAGTTGATATTATTCAACTGACAACACACAACATTGCTTGGAGCAGGTAGGAGGGCTTGGCTTAATATTAACGGAAACAGGTGGTGGCTTCTCTAGTGTATTAGTTTAGCAAACCTGATGGAAAAAATTATGAGATTTAAAAATACTTTACCTAGTACATGTTGATTATTCTGTTCAATAAGATCACATAAATATCCATAAACGTGGGGAGCCTCATCCGAATCCTCAATGACTGGGAGCCAAGAAAACCATAAAGGTATAATTTCATCCAAATTTATCTGTGAATTGTTATATTTCATAATTTTGGTAACAGCTGAGATAGCATTTTCAGTCGCATTGATATTTCTGGGATCTTTTGATTCAGAATCGTTTATAACTTCAACAAGGACAGGAATAATTTTAGCCAATTCTCCGGCAAACTGTTCGCCTCCAAACTGGGCCAAAACACCCCACCCATAAGCTGCAGCTTGTCGAACCTCACAGCTCTTGTCTTTAACATACATAGCTAGAGGTGCTAGGAAATATGCTTGGTATTTGGCACAAGCTGGACCGCTGAATTCAATAACATCGTCGAATACGCAAATACCCCACTGTCGGTCTGCCCAGCTTCGATTTGGTGTAAGCAGATTTACAAAATGACTACACACTTGATCAAAGAACGGCAGGAAATTTTCTCGGTAAACTAAAAACATTGAATGAATCACATCCGTTATTTTACTGAGCACATAAATATCATCTGATTCTTCATCTTCCAACTGTTCTTGTACTTCCTGTAAAAAAGAATATTTCAAAAGTGACCAACCCATTTCATTTAGAATTCAAGTTACCTCATCGTAATCCTCATCCAAATGTTTTTTGTGCCTATCATTGGCCCTTTCGAAATGCTCCTTCATTAACCTATCAATTATCCTCAAAATTTCAGTCATGGATTCTTGGTCGATGTAAGAGGGCCCAAGTTTTTGGATGCATTTTGCCAAGGCATCGAGCATTATCATCAGAACTTCACTCTCTGGCTCCGTATCTATAGCCTTGAGGAGTTCGGGGCAGATGAATCTCCACATGTCTCCAACAAAAGCAGGCCCCTTGCAAGTCGCACACTCAAGCAGCCAAGATAAAGACTCGGCGGCGGCGTTTCGAACTCCATCATGGAAGTAAAATTTAAGCATAGGTACCATCAGTTTGACAACTTCTTCGGCATAATTCGAAAAGCTTTCTTTCAGTTCCCTTGCATAACATACGAGCATACTACAAGCTGCCGCCTTGTCCTCCAAACCTTTAAATATGAATTCCTCAGTTACCCAAAAAACTATTTCAGTTTATGTTAGCGAAATAAAATGTATATTCAATGTGAACTGAACTGAAAAAACATAATTAGAAAAATATCTCATAAATGGTTAAATTAGAGACAATTGTTTTTATATCGAATTCAGAAAATAGGTTTTCAAATATTTTTGACATAAGTAGTCAGTCATTTCTAATTTTTGTTCAATTATGAGGAAGTGAATTGTATGTGTTCATTCCATTATATAAACAAAAAATTCATCCAAAATTAGTTTTAACATTGGGGATATCGAGGAAGTATTTGGAAGTGTATTGTGTTCATGAACGCCATTTACCTCACTAAAATTAAAATTGGGAGGCGTTAGTTTATTTCTAAGGAAATTAATGAATTCACAGACTTTCATTTATGAATAGTCTATACCAAAAAATGTATTACGTTTATATAAATTGTGAGATACCTATGTAATTATTCATGATTTTTTCAATTTCCAGAATGTCTGCTGGTTTTGAAAACAAAGACATGAAACAATAGGTCTTCATACATAAAAATCGATTCACACAACACAATCATAATCATTCAAGAATATCTTACCAGCTGTCCGAATACCAAAATTCTTCTGTTCTCCCAAAGAAACGAACTGCCAGTCCTCATCACTCTCCACACCTTGCATGTCATCATTATCTAATAATGCTACATCAGGTTTCATAGCAGCCGTTCTCATTACTGGTCCCATAACTAAAGGAAGATATTGTTCAAAGTTCTTGCCAAGAACCTAAAAACAACATTCACAATTAAAATACTTTGAAAATTCCTTATTAATTTATGGTACAGAAATTAACATGACTTCCGGCGGGAAGTCATATGAAGATCTCTCAGAAAAATCTTGTACACGTTGTGAAAAACAAAGAGTTAAAATTACAGTGTGCATTATTCATGGAATGTGTGACAAACTATAATAATAGACATTATTTGTTGTGAAAATAGTGATATCTTACCTCAAGCTTGAAGTAAGTCTTTATAAACTAAAAATATTCCAAATTAATTATTGATGAAATCATTAGACATGACAGAAAAAAATAATCTTCTGAAGTCAATCATTCAAGAAAAAGATGAAAAAATGCCATTACTATTAACAGAATGAAAAATGTGTTTATTGATGGATAAAAACACCATAAACAACAAAAAATATGTGGAATGCTCGCAAAATCAGAAGATAAGACTAGGGATGTTACGGATATGAAATTTTGGATCTGGATATAGAAACAGAAAAATCGGTTTCAGATAGGGGTAGGGATATGTAATTATTTCGGATTATCCGTTAGTTTTGGTTAGAGATATTAGATGAAAGTAAAATAAAAATGGTATGTTTTTTGTTTGATTTATGACTTATTTATCTTATGAAAAACTCATATTAGATATAGAATAGAGAAAATATCTTTTGTCTAATTTCTACTAAGATTTTTACTTGTTATGACCGGTTTCGGTTTATTGAATCATTCTCAAGTAAACTAATGCAGTTGGACCAATTTCTTTTTGTTTTGCATTACTTTCATCCCAGGTACTATTATTTCTTGTAGACTCTGTTATTGACAATAATCTTGTGAAGGTGTCAGCTGTTTGGGTGTATGTGGTTCTTGCTGGTTATTTTGTTCCAGCAACAAAAGTTCTTTGTACTTTTCAACGTGTATTGATTTGGGATGAAGTTTCAGTAAAGTGCCACCCCTTTCCGCGAAAAGTTTTAATTATACTGTTTACATTTTGGAGAATCTACATTAAATTAATTAAAAAATGTCCAAATTAAACTCGAGTTTGGACGCATTTTGTCCATATAAATCAATTCAGTACATAACACAACACTTTTTCTTTGATAAATTGAGTGATTTTGCCGTTACTATACGGTAGGCGAGAATCATGAAAAATGAAATTTTCTATGTTTTTTACCACTTTTATTCGTAACTATCATCACTGCAGTTTCGTCCTATATGGACATTTTCAAACTAATATAATAAAACTTATTGTATTAGTTTGAAAAAGTCCATATAGGACGATAGTTACAATTAAAAGTGGTAAAAAACATAGAAAGTTTCATTTCTCATGACTGCTTTCACTGTATTGAATTGAGTACCTACTTCTAAATACAAAGAAGATTATACTTGAAAAACTGTGGATCTTAGTGAAATACCAAAGTTGAAGTAGAACTTCAATAAACTTGAGAAATATAAAATTACACGTGACAGTCAAACTGTTGCAATTCAGTTCATATTCCAACAGTTATGGATGAGGTTATGTTATGACTAGAAATAACAAACAAACTATGCAAGATTCAGGGGGCGTGTGAGCGGTGAATCGACAACCTATTGCAACATGTTTTATTTAGACTCCGTCCTTATTCTCTTCATATGTCCAATAATATCTAATTCTGTTTTTTCACTTACAAATTGAAAAACAAATTAGTAATAATACAAATGATTTGCTGTAGAATTGGAAGAGATGTATGTACCTGTGTTTGATATAAAAGGGGCCCTTCCGAAACAAGTCTTGAAAAATAACTTACTTTTCAAAATTTCAAATTTCTTAGGATATTTCTATGTGTAAAAGCATTCCTGGTATGATAACAGTAACTTATATGTTAAATTTCATTAGTTTAGATTTTCATTGTCCAATATGAAATAAAATTATTTGAAATATCTGAAAGAACCAATTGAATTCAAAATCGTCTTCATCTCATATCATATTAGACAATGGAAGTCCGAACTAATGAAATTCACCTTGAAACATTGTCAATCACATTCAAAGATACAGAAACTTACTTTGCAAATCCTTGACCAAGCAGAAATAAGATAACTTGTTTGTGGATCATCATCTGGTAATTCAGCACCTTCTCCATGAGTCTTGAGCAACATGTCCATAACCTCTGTAGCATCAGCACTGAACTTCTCGGAACCTACAGCCATTCCAATTAAAGTAACACATTCAATTGCCTTCCCTCGTAGTAATTTCAACTCGTCTTTATTAGCATTTTGTATGATATATTTCAGGCATGGCATCAGTCGATCATAGTATGCTATGAATTCAGTTTCTGCTGTATCAGCTACACTAGCAATTGTTGTTACTACTTGTTCCAAAACCAGTTTTGTACCTTTCTCTACCAACTCCTTGAATTTAGCCGTCAAAATACCTTCGAGTTTACCCATGAGAGCCTCAAGGTACCCGCTCAGGATATGTTTCGGACAATCTTCAGCAAAATTGACGAGAGCAGCACCTAAACCGAACATTGATCAACATCTCTATCATCATTTCAAAATAAACAGCATTACCAGCATGTGCTTGAACTCTTGGATTGGCATTGTCATCCAAAAGCATTAGTAAACCTGGCACAACCCGATCGTGAAATTTCTTTTCAAATACAGGAGCAAAATCTGTAGACATTTGTCCAACAGCATTACAAGCTGCGTACCTAACCCTAGGATGGGGATCTTGTAGATACCGAAGTACTCCATCCATAACACCAGGTACTCCGTCCATGATCTGGGGTAACATACTTTCCATTTGTTTGTGACACCCCTCTCCAATTGCACTCAAAGCCATAAGTGCTGCATGCCTTTGTTTCCAATCGGGACTTGCTAACATACTGGGAATACTGTGTGTAACAAGGGGAAGAATAATCTTCCCACCTGAAATAACATAGACAATCTAAGTAATTTTGTAGAAATGGACATAATGATTGTTATAATAATCATATTTTCTCATATAAAAGTTTAATCAGAATAGATTCATTAATTGGATCCATTTTTATAATCATAGACAATATACAAATGTGGTGATATTAAAAAAACGAAGTAAAAATTGTCAGTATCTGAAGTCGTAATTTTTTGTCAATGATAAAATGAGGATCATGCAGTGAACATAATTCATTATTCTTTCCCTGAAATCAAGTTGAGATTGAAATTCATTACTAATCAAGAGATAGTTGCGATCGCGCAGTGTGAAGACTATGAGAAAGACGATGTGGTATTTATGTTTCGAAAGTGCCAATAACAGTAAAAAAGTATTTGAACTGAAGAGATTAAAAAAGCAGTTGGAATTGGAAGACTGAATATTTTTTCAGTAGTTTTTTTATCACTACTTATTCATCAGCAATCATTAGCGAATGGCAACAAAATCATTGTACTTAACGCCAACAAGTTGTTTATGAAGCAAGAAATTTGAAATTCCAAACGAAGGTAAAGTTCATTGAAGTCTAATGAAAAAACAATTGAAAATCTATTTTGATTTGACCAGAAATGAACCCAGGTCAAGAATTTCAAATAGAACCATTTAATACAATAGAAAATTCCCTTTTTAACATTATAACACATGCTTTCAAAATAGTACCATAGGAGCCATTCTCTCTAAATTCAACATGGATGGTACTCACTATAACGTCATTTATTGAAATATTTTCAAACAACCTGATATAATAAATAACTCGGTTTATGAATGAATATTTAGGAAATGAAATTTTTCATCAATTCTTTCAATAATGCCATTTCTTGCTTCAGTTGTTTTTGAAATTCTTAATGAAAAATGGCTCCTGAGGCGCCATTTTGAAAAGAATTGTGTCTCTGTTATATCGCTGAAAAGAGAATTTCATTTTTTATCAATTGGTTTAAAAAATATACAGAATTCTCTTCAAAATGTTTGAGTCGAGTTCATTTCCAATAAACTGAAATATATTTTCAGTTGTTTTTTCATTAGAAATATCGGCTCTGATGAATTAAAGCTTTTTTTATGTTGAAAGGACCAGGCACAAATCTTATGGTTAATGGCTTTCAGTGAGTTCTGCAGATTGTTTGGTACAATGAACTTTTCAATGTTCTGATCATAGATCTCCACGGGCACAACGAAAAATAACGGAAAGTTTTTGTGAAAATTATTGCTCAAAGTCAGCAAAATGGAGAATTTGGTAGTAAAAAGGGAGAAATAGGCAGTGTTATTTTGCAACTTCATTCCTCTCGGAAATTGTAGCATGCGCCTTAGCAATCCTTTAATGGGTCTTGGTGTCTTTGCAGCACAGTTTGCCCATTTGAAATTACCATATTGTGTATTGCCGTGAAGGATATTTGAAAATGACATTCAAAAAGTCGCCGGAGAGCCCTTATTTAAGTTTGCACAAAAAAGCCAAGTCATCTTTATAAATATACGTCTCCACCTTCTACTGGTACAAAATTGCAGTAGGTATGGATATTGCGGAAGTGATCCTTATTCATTGAAATCATCGATTTCAATTCTTCATCTGTGAAACTCTCTTCATCCTGGTATTCCCATTGTGGCATGTTCATACATTCCCAAGTTATTGCAACAAAATACCAAATTACTTTTTTTTCATTCTACATTATCAAAAACTGAAGTGCATCCCTGAAAGAATTTGTCTCAGGAAAAAACCGTTTTCACTCAGATTTAACCGATTTAGATTGAGTCTAGCGTTACACACTACACACGATTCACTGAAAGTTTGTTTTGAAAATATTCAGCTTGAGAAACATCAAGTCATCTTCCAAAGCAGTTATCTCTTCCACTTCTGCCCTATTACAATTCAGGCACAGTCTTGTGAAGTTGTCGATGGGAATATCTGGTAGTCCTGATTCTTCCCTTTGTTGAATAGCAATCTCCTGTTTTTCTTCATTATTCACCCCACCTAATTTATCAGTTCGTTGTATATGGAGAATATTGTTGTACATTCAACAATATTTTCCATTGGAGAGGTTATGGCAAACAACAAAAGATTCAAAAATCTTTTATTTACCTTGTATACATTACATGAGTACATTACTAATATCATCATGTCAACCAATAGACAATTGGCAACTTGATCAAAAAAACATGACACCTGTTGAAATATCAGTTCTGTAGCGGATGAAGTAGATATTACTGTGATAATATAGGAATGCTATTATGGAATAGTTGGTTCAATTATATGATAAATAAAAATGAATGTGGGATTATTTTAAATGTTATTCTTCAATAAATCTTGCTATAAGTTTTTTCTTAGATTTTTACAGAGTTGTAATTTGTAACCTTATCAATATACCCATTTTTTTTAACTTCCATTTTTTCTGACTTCCATTATTTTTCCACGTATAAGACCCTATACCGTGTGACACAGACTCATGGTACACCCCCTTTTTCTCCTTTAGCAATATTTCTGAAACTAGGAACATTGAATATACTCACTAGACGGCCTTTTTTAACATATTTGTAAAACAAATTCAACTTCCGGTTTCTCCTAAAGTGATAATTTTTGATTTTCAAATGGGACATCCTGTATATTATTACAAGATCGGTTAGGGATGATCATGAGGAATCAAACGATAATAGGTTTGATGGTGTTATCTCTAATGACTACGGAGATATCACCATTTATTTTATACATAAGCTCAATGAGTAGGACAGAGATACTTTTTCTGGAGGGTCCAACCAACTCTCTCTCCCACTCATTGAGCTTATGGATAAAATAAAAGGTGATATCTTCCTAACCCTAACCGATCATGTGATTGATCATTTGAAAATAAATTTGATGTCATTGATGTCATTTTCGAAAAAAACGGAAGTTGAATTTGTTTTACAAATATATAAAAAGTGCCGTCTATTGAGCATATTCGATGTTATCAGAAATATAGCCAGAGAAACAAAGGAGAAAAGGGGCCGTACCATGAATACGTGTCACACGGTATATCAATTGAATCATCTTCTATATAACCACCATTGACTAACTTTCTCATGTTTTTATAATGTTATAAAAATTATTTTTTCATTTCTTGGTTCATGGCTTTATACGTCAATTATTGGCAAACGGTGGTGTGAAGACTGACTCATGACTCATAAAAGAATTGCTAAAGTGCATGCTACAATTTCCGAGAGGCATGAAGTTGCAAAATAACACTGCCTATTTCTCCCATTTTGCTACAAAATTCCCCATTTTCCCGACTTTGTGAAAATTTTTTCTCAAAAACTGTCTATTATTTTTTGTTGAGCCCGTGGTGACTTTTGATCAGGACATTAAAAAGTTCATCATACAAAAAAATCAGCAAAATTCACTGAAAGCCATTTTTCATAAGGTTTGTACATGTCCTTTCTTGCTTTAGAAACTGGGCGGTGCCATGTACAAAGATTTTGTTGTCAATTCAGTGTCCCCATTTTCATGAATCAACCCCCTAATAATCTTTGTTGTTTAGTATGCATATCCAATTTGAAATGTTGGTGTATATGCAAAATTCCTTCATATTGACTAGAGATAAATTTATGTTTCTGCTATTTTACAGGGGATAATAGGGTCAATTATTCACAAAAAGTATATTCGGACTTTTAGAAGTAACTATAAATGAAAATTGTTTTCAAATTCAGCATCCAAACTCCTAGATACAAAATATATTTGGAAGAGCCCAAAAACTTGTTTTTTACTATTAATAAAAAACCTTATCGCTTATGCCACTGAACATTAAAAATATACATGTGATTTTATTTTTATTCATGCCATTGGTAAGATAGCGGGTTTAGGAGTTATTACTTTCATTTGTAAAAAAACACTATTTCCAACCTTTTTTCATTATTTTCAAAATTGTTTCATAAGTAGGTATTTTTGGGGGTTCTAAATTCGAAATTTCATTTATGTTGACTCCTTAAATACTTTTCGTGAATAATGGATCCTGTTGACATAAACAATTGACTGTATCAGAATGATTTTACTTTTGAATTTTTCACAATATATTTATAATTTTACTTTACATTTATATGCTCATTTATTGAAGGGCCAAGTATTAGTTTGTGACTGCTTTGTGTATAAAAATTATTTTCACGGGGGCTCTATTAGCCCCTGTGAAACAGCACCCTTACAAGAATGAGTTTTACTCTGGTTAATATGAGGGATTTTAAATACACGTTGATATTCACATTTTTCAAATTTCGCTTGTTTTTTATTGTTTTAGATAATACCAATTAGGTAAACAGCTAATGATGTAGAAAAAATGAAATTTCCAATATCAATTGAAAATAATTAAAAATTCACCTAATCCGCAAGCCAATCGATCAAGAGCAGCTTCGGCAACAACATTGTTGCAGTCATTATCTTCATCCAAAAGTTCGTCCGATTCAGCCCAACCATCTTCTTCTTCAAGATCAGCCATAAATTGTAAAATCAAAGGGATAAGTTGTTCCATGTACTTGCTTGCATTTTTACGTACCATCGCTGGAGCCATTTCAGCAAGAGTTACCATTACCTATATTTGAAAATATAAAAATTTTCCGTTGAATTTTTCAACATTTGTAAAAACTTGTGATGAGAAAAATATTTTGCAGAGTCAGATTCTGTTACATTTGTTGTTTTTAGGATTTATATGTACTCCTAAAGATGCCAAGACTCGTGTTGCTGCATTATTGGAAATCACTCAAAATGAAGCAGTCAATAATCTCAAAAAATTAAATATAAAAATTTACATTCAATTATTCAACAAATAAACTTTTTTCCAAATTAGTAAATAAAATAGAATTGTTTTTCAATATACCATATATGAAAAAATTCAGAACAGACTGTAAAAACCTCACCTCTAATGCCAGTTGCCTCCAACTATCCAAAGCTCCAGAATCGCTGAAAATCTTCATGCACATTTCATAAATGGGCAATAACTGTGGTCTCAAATATTTTGGAGCATTCTCAGATAAATCAATCAAAACTTTCAAGAGAGTATCATCTTCTTGTTGATGTACACTTTCTGCTATGACATGTAACACAGGCGCCAGCAAATCTGCATAATGTTTCAAAATTTGAGTTTCCTTATCATTGATCAGAATGAATGCTCCGACAGCTCTTACTGCCTGAAAACGAACTTCGTAGGCTTCAGTAGGTTGAAGACTCTGCAGAAGCATTTGCTTGATAAGGTCCAAGTAGTTGTTTTGTTGATTCCCAAACACACCAGGTACGCTTGTGAACATTTGAAGAGCTGCTTCTTTGAGAACTGGATTTGGATCATTTGCACAGTGAAAGAGAAACTATAAAAAAAAATTATAAATGGAAACACTAATTACAGTTACTGTGATTTGATAAAAGTTTACTGAATTTTATTTTACGGACCCAAATTTTTAATTATAATTTTTGTGGCATACTTTTGGAACAATAACACCACTACAAGTTGCAGTTACTTATTTTGAAGTAAGATTATCGATTTCAAATTAGAGAATCAATTATTTCTACCAAAATAAAGTATCAGATCTTGAACTTATTGAAGTTTTTTCTTGAGTTCTAGATTTGCAATGAATATCATATTGAGAGACTTCAAGGATAATTTAAAAAATAAAATCAATAAATTGTTGGAACATTTATTATTATCAAATTATACTAAATAATGGCTTCATATATCCTAATATAAGATAATTAGATTAGTACAACTGTAACTTTTATTTTGTTTAGCTGTTATTTTCCTATACTTTTTTTTTTTTACTTCTTTTCGAAAGTTATTATTGATGTGAAACACCTGTTGATTCTCAAATACATAAATGTTGAAAAATATATAATGATTATAGTTAAAATGTTATACTAAGACAGAGAATGCACTATTTTTGAATCAAAACTTTCTGAACAAAAAACTTGGTCCATAGTTTCATTAGGGGTTATTGGCCCAGAGTATCATCAGAGGCATCTCAGAACAATTCAAGATGTCTTGCAGATCATTTCTTCTCAGACATGGTTCTATAATGTATCCTCTATTGAATTATAATAATAAAACCATTATTTTCAGTGAAAATGATAAGTTGCTCATTCTTATGTATACTTCACCCTTTTAAAAACTTTTTGGGATAATTTGTACAGTTTTTATAACACTGACAAATAACAGAGTGACGAAAAAATCAACAATAAAATTATTAAAATAAATAAAACCATTTTGTTATGTAGTATATCCTTGTAGTCAGTTCAAATGTTATCTAACCTCAATCATCAATTATTTAAATCAACGTGTTAGGAATCACACGTTAAAAGGTAAGACCTCGTTAGTCCTTAGTTCGCACAAGTTTTTCAACTTCTGAGCATTGTCGTTCGTATGGGGGCAACAGCTGATTCATGGAAAAACAGATTTTTTTAAACAGAAATAACATCCTAGAAAATAGCCCAAACAAATTTCCACATGAATGCACATGAGCAATGGGAACAGTTCAGCCTCGAGAACAAGAACGATTCAGGACGGTTCATGACAGCTTCGGATAATTTTCCAGTCAAAATCAGAACTGAGGATTCATCAATCAGAAATTATACCCAATAAATCAGAACTCTCTATATCAACTGCGTATGATCCTGACGTCCTAGAACCTGAATTTAGTAGAACCAGAACAAACCTAATATCAAACATTATCTTGAGACAAAATGATTGCAAGACAAAATACAACTCAAAAATCTATTTGGAATGGTAGCTCTCAATTAATAGCAAGTGAAAAAGCTTGTCTATTTAGAACTCAAAATGCTCTTCAAATTCATAAACTAATACTAAAAAGTAGTTTCAAGTCCTTAATTGGTATCACAAAAATTCAAATTTTAAGAATATTCACAAAATTGAAAATCATTCTTTTAATTTGAATCTCGTGGAAGATGTTCGAATAATGTGTGAATGGAATAGGCAGTAACAAGAAGTTAATAATGCTGTTTGATTTACAAGGTTTCGAATTTTTTAATAGCAGAAACAGCCTTGGAGAGTTCAGTACACAAAAAACTCGTTGTGAACAGTGGAGGTGACTGTCAATTTGTACACCTAGAAATTTCACATTTCCATAAATTTCTTCCTGAAGAAGCTAGCGCTGCACTCGCGGCAGCGAAACGTCAGGAAGAAATTCGAAAATCCACTGCCTTTGAACACAAAAAATAGAGGCACTGAAAACCTTGGCCGCGAAAGCCTTAACCATTTTGTCAATTGATATTGTAGTCAAATCATACTTACTTGAAGAAATTCTGGCCACTGATTATTTCCATCGTCGTCTATTAAATTTCTTGCAACCTCTGCTACGACTTCACATACTTTATGTCGTAATTGTTCAGTCTGTACTTGTTGCACAGCCATCAACACCTGTTCTTTCAGTTGGTTTTGACTCTCAGGTGGTATTTTTGGATAAAAATCCATGAAGTCATTGGAAAAAACTCTACGGAGCAGAACGGCAGACATCTGCCTAGCCTCATCGCCCAAATTGGCATTGTGAATTGCCCCTAACAAATGACTCACTTTTGTTTCTATAGGCAAGTTAGAATATGCTTCCTAAGAATATAAAAATTGAGATTCAAATTATGCACATATGATATAAAATTATACAAAGAACAGCGTATAAAATATATTATATATTGAACAATGAATAAAATTGTGTGTAATATTGGCGCTTTTTTTTGGCATGCACTAAAGTTAAATTCAAAACCATCCATTAAAAAGTAATTCAATTTAATCAATATTCCTGGTTATTACAACAATTACTTGAAAAAGGGCATGATCCAATTCCTCAAGAATGAATCATTGCAATTCAACGCCTAGAGAAAGCATGCTCTTCTAAGATGATCAAGTACACGTTGTGACTGAGAAATATTTCAGAAAATCTGAGATTTTAATCAATGGTTCCTTCAGATTTTCACTTTAAAACATAGGTAATTGTTTTATTCAATATTAAACTCACCTCTGCTTGCGTTCTGATATTATTATCGGTGGACAAAAGAGTTGTCAAGATTTGGAAAAACTGTTCCTGTTCGGCGGCCATGGCGCCTTCTCATGAAAGAAGGATAACATGAAACTCATGTCCAGCAACTTGTCAATTCAAAATTATCAAGAAACATTAAAATTTGACATTTTCAATTTTAGGCAAATTTTAACAATAAGAAAATAACATTTTCAACGAAACCCATGCCTCAATATATTCTTTTTAATTGTTCTTCATTTCTCTTTAATTCAACAAGAAAATCTGGATGAGAAATTGAATAACTATCAATATTCTCAACCTTTTATAGAGATTCGGAAAATCTAGAAAATCTTAGTCCCTCGAATAATATCTTCAATGACATCACATTTGTCAAAAATTGAAATTATTTTAAAATCATATTCTAGGGCTTTTCCAGAGGATAAGTGATAGGGCTTTTCCAGTGGATAAGAGGATAAGGATACCACAGTGATGTCATCAGTTTTGCCGAGCAAACATAATAATTTTATCATAATGTAGAATGATTTTTATATGTGTTCTCTTTCAGTACTTACCTAATTTTTCTTCCAATTCTATTTGACGCGAGAATGAGATTGTCCCAAAATTGTTGATATGGTGCAAGAATCGAAATCAGTCGCGCGTATTTTTTCAGATCTTCACTTCATGAACCATAATGTGAAAAAATCTTTTACCTAATACCGATAAGTTTCAGAATATAAACAACATTAAAAATTGAAGTTTTTTCTAACATTGTAAAGTTGCTTCACTCGAGTTGTACTCAGCACCTCTGTGAACGAAATGCTGAATTTTATTGTATCTCTTTATTTGGTTTTCATCAAGAATGCCGTAGGTTTTCGACAAAATATTTCACAATGGAAAGAAATAGGGGAAGATACAAATCATGCTACATGATTTGTATGTGTGTACTTCCGCGACAACAATAGCAATACTTTTTTTCATTTTCAATCTTAAATAAAGTGGTAAGAGTGAAGATACACTTTGAAAATGAAAATTTTCGAAATAAGATGTTTGATGACGTTGTATTCTGAAGCATGCAACGAGATCCTAGCGAGAACATATGAGCGCTGCATTCAAGTTGACACCCAGTGTTATTGATATAGTCTTTTATGAACCTTATCACACCTTTTAAGTTATTAAAATATCCTGGCAATAGGCGGATAAAGCTTTAAACATCATGGGAAGGATGCCAGTAAGAATATTATTTTAGAGTGCAATAATTTCCATAGAATATACTGTATAAAATGATGTAAGAAGAACATCCCGCTCGATTTGGCATCAACTTGAAGCAGCTTTCAGAAGAGTTCTCAAAATCAACAGTAAAATAATGATGCCCCCTTCCAGGTTAACTGCCCCGGGATAAAAACTTCGCCCCACAAAATAAATGTTGTTAAAAAAACTTAATATCCCATTCCTTCCACCCGCGCTCTTACGTGAGTGATCCTCAATTCTTACACTTCAGCAAGATTGACATCTGACCTCCTTCGGTCGAAAGTGAGCCTTCAGGTGCTTTTACTTTTTAGTCTGATGTTTTGTTTTATTTTGGCTTTCCTAACTGAATTTTTGTATGGGGTGCCCAAAAACTAACCGGGGACTATTGTTTAAAAAGAGATCGCGGTCGATTGTTTCTCGTTGAACCTGAAAAGGAAGTATTTACTTTTTCGGAGCCGCCTGACAGCAACTGTCGGAGGTGGACGTTGGTTCTGCTTGGTTGGCCTTCTATGTTTCTTCCCAACACCAAATCGTTATTTTAACACCTCGACACGTGTTTCGATCACCAAGTGATCATCTTCAAGGGGAAGATTAAACTCTCCATTTTAACGATTTGGTGTTGGGAAGAAACTCCAGTAATATCATTACTACACCATAGGTTCCAAACAGTGTATCACAAGTGCGTAGTGTATGTTCAGGTCTAGATCCCGGAATATGTACCTATTCGGTATATATCTTGAAGCGTTTATGGCGGCCCTTACCCACGCGTTCATAAAAGACTAGATCTGTCTTCTGTATGTCGCTGCGCACTGGCGTCAGGCAGTTTATTATTAGTTAATCTTATTAGTTATTAGTTTAATCTTCCTCTTGGAAAAGATCACTTGGTGATTGAAACATGTGTTGACGTATTGAAAATGACTGTTTGGTGTTAGGATATAGAACTCTAGTAATATTAATTACTATACCAAAGGTTCCAAACAGTGCATCACAAATAGAAAGATATCTTGTAGAAGGAACGGAAACATTTTCTGTGAATAATTATAGCCACGACGGCTCAAAAATATATGGTAGGTATGTGCTCTCATAAACTGTGCCGTTTCATGGCTCAGATTTTTTCTTTTCTTTCAGTTTTTCTTTTTTTGGGGTATAACGGAAAAGTATTCATGGTCTTTATGTTTCCACTGGTGACTTAAGTGGACCCTCGTCTTCAAAATTTTTTCTAATGATGTATTGGAACCAGAAAGTATAGTGTTCTGCAAAATTGAAGCTTTCTTAACTGTAGTTGGTTCAACAATGTGTTTTCTGCAAGAAGTGTTCGCACTGCTTAAATATCAAGTATCTGTTAAATAAGAGCAGTATGAATACAAATTGTGCCGACGTTAAAATGATAAAAAATATAGTAGAACTATAACGATATTTTTGAGTTCACAAAATATTTCGTCTGTTTGAAAAATGTATTGAAATCTGTCTTTCTCGTTAACCAGCTGTCGCCCCCTATATCCCTTGGAAGTGAAAACTTGTGCGAAATTAGTACTAACGAGGTTTTATTTTTTAACTTGTGATTCCTAGATTTTAATTATCAACAAAACATTTCAAGAAATGTAGGTATGATACCTGTTGAATATCTTTGTCAACCTACTAACCTTCAAAGCACATGAAGAAAAAGACACACAATACTAAGAAATGGACAAATTGAATAGAAGAACTGAACAAATTTAATGGGTTGTTCATCAGCTTAGCTCAGATAAAGACAACCCCACGTATTGAGCTGGACCCAATTGCGCCTGAATAGGAAGCAGCGGCCAATAAAGAAAGAAGAAGAAGAAGGTCATTTCATAGTGGTTATACAAACATAACCTAGCTTTTCTGTCATTAAGTCACTAACGTGCTCCAACAGATAAATTTGATTCAGTCCTATAAATAAAATAAAAACAAAATGCCTAAAGTTAGATCTACAACGGGACCCCCTCGTAAGCAGGGTTTCAACAAATCAAATCATTCTATGAATCCTGAGAGACCTACAGAAGGGCTCAAAGGAGTAGGCAAAGTAAGAAGTAAGGGAACTATCAAAAGGCTGCAGATGTATAGAAACTTCAAAGCCAAAAGAGACAAAACAGGAAAGATCCTCACTCCAGCCCCATTTCAGGTAAATCTATTATCACCCATTTTTTTTTATTGGAAAATCGAAAATATCCAATCTGAATCTTAGTGCATTGAAGAAAGAATCTGTTTGAAAAAAATGTTTTTCCGTTAACCAGCTGTCGCACCCCTACGAATAACGACCCTCAGAAGTCGAAATTTGTGTGAGCTAAGGATTAACGAGGTCTTACCTTTTAACGTGTGATTCCTAACACGGGTTGGACGATAGCAAGTGAAAATCGATCGTTCAGACTGGTGCTTGAACCACCGATTTTCACTTGCTATCGGAATGGTGGTAACTATCAAAACAACATAAAACAAATATCTGAAACTACTTCAGTTCTTAAAGATATTGATGTCGCTAGAAATTGAAGTCGATTTTGTATTGCAGTGGCACTAATTGTAGGCGAGTCAGATTCAAATAAAGATATGTACTGAATTATTATTATATTTTATTCATTTAATTATTTAGTATATAATATATGGTTGTTAAAACTCATATCAAAGTTATTAAAGAGGGTAATTATTTTGAGCTCGAGGATCCAGATACCTGACTTCTCTTGTTTTTGACAAGCTCATTGATGTCAGGTATCATATTCATTGTAATTATTTTAAGAATTGATTGGAGATAAAAACAAACATCTAGTGCGATGTTTGTTTTTATTTATCTGCTCAAATAAATAGATACTACCAAACATTCAGAGAATACATGCTGCATGTTTTTTCAATTCCAGGCAGTTATCCAAACTCTTGAAATATTGTGTATAAAATGTAAGAGCGTTAACATCTTTGAATTTTTTTTCAAAATACTGTTCAATTGAAGATCTATCAACTCCATTTGCAAATGAACTGGTGCTTGTGAAGCTTCAAAATTGAATGGATTGTTGAAAATTGGGAATTCCGTTTCATTCATTTTTTGTAAGTCTCCAAAACGATTGTTGAATTCTGTGATCAGATTTTTCTGAAGTTGAGAATATTGATCCATGTTTTTTTTGGTTCAATGCGCCAAATGATTTTAAATGAGGGAAATGATCCAAAGTTTGATTTTTTACCCGATTTTCCCACAGCCTCAACTTGGTTTCAAAGGCTTGAATACATGAATACATTTGAGTGTTAATCTGATTTTTACCCTGTAAATTTATATTCAGATCAGTCAGAAAGTCAGAAATCAAGTGCCAGAAAGGCACAATCAACCCACTAGTCATTGTCATAATCAATTGGGTTGCCTTTTTCTAACATGAAAGCTTGAATGGGAACACGTAATGCAACAAATCTTTGTAAAACTACTCTTCGATTGAAATAAGGGTCATCAGAAAACTTTTCGTCCAAATCTTGTGAAAACTGCCTGAACTGTCGGTGATTTAATCCTCTGCTCCTTATAAAATTTACTATTTTAATTGAAGGTTGCATGACGTGGTTCATTTTTAAATTTTTGCATGCCAATTATTCCTGATGAATTATACAGTGAAATTCCTTGATGTTTTATGTTTTAATTTAGTTACAACGCCCGAATGTTTGCTAGTCGTGGCATTAGCGCCATTCGTAGTTGTGTTGCTAATTTAATTGAAATTGAGGTCATATTCTGCTATCAAATGCTCAATTGCACAATAAATATTACTTGCTGTTGAAGTACCTGTCAATGAAACGCACTTCAATAGTTCTTCAGCTATTTCAAAGTTACTGTTAATACCTCATGTAAAAACAGCAAGTGCTGTATCAGTGCTCTCGTTAACAGCCAGTGAAAAGTTTGAAAATTCCTTAATTTTCTTCCTTGGTTGAACAACCAAATTTTGAGATAAATCATTTATTCTTTAAGCAACAGTGTAACATTGATTGTTGACTTAGATTTGAAAGATGACAATGTGTTCCTTCTTATTTTTTCAGTGTAACAATCCAATTTTTATTTATGATTCGTATCACAGTGTCTCTTCAAGTTACACTCCTTAGTGTTAGACTGAAACACTCTGCACTCATTATCAACTTCAAGTTTTTGTGACATTATGCCAAAATCTTAACAATTATGGAACTCGACACAATTATAGATATCGCACGAGGACGACACAAACAAACGCACACTAAAATCCTTCTCCGACCGTATCGCTTCGATTGCTCGACTCAACAGACTCAAGTTGCACCAAAGCATTCCTTTTATATCAATAAGTAAGTCTTTAGTCTAGACTTGAAGCGTGTGGAAGATTCTATTGTTCTCAACAAAAATAATAGGGCATTTCCGATTATTGCTAAGAGATGGCGCTACCGTCAATGATTGAGTTGTTCACTAGAACTAAATAGGTACCTAACTAACACTCTCTTGCTTGTTCAGGCAAGCGATTCTTCCTGTGACACCTTGCGATCGCGGGCCGTATCTTTGACATGACTGGTTCAATTGGTATATCGAAGAATAGTAGATATTTTCAATGCTCTTTTCAAGCAGAACAATGTAAGTCACTGGTCAACCAATCGTTTATCCAAAATATTGGAGTTCTAATTAATTTCAATAGACAGATGTATGGGAAAAAGTTGAAAATCACAATAGAGCATAGTTAGGAAGATAGGAATTTGATGTTTTATAGTGGAAACACTGCCTTTTCAAACCGGATTTTCGGACCAGTTATAGAATAAAGTGCAATCCATCTTTAACAGTTGAAGTTGTTAACAGTGAAATAAACCTTATACCCTAAAGTTACGAAACAATTGCAACATGTGGAATTGAAAAATAAAACTAAGGAACGAAACCCATTCAAAAATAATTACAACTCAACTCAACGAGATCAATTTTGGGAAAACTATAAAATTGTTAGAAATCAGTATTTTAATATGTTATAAAATAAGAAAACACTTCTTTATGAACAACAAATTGACGCAAATCGTAATAATCCAAGACAAATGTGGAAACATCTTAAATCAATAGTAAATCCGGCTTACAATAATAAAATGAATAAAATCATCTTTCGTGAAAGAAATTCAATAGCAATTAGTATAAATGAACATGAGATAGCTGAGAATTTCAATAATTACTTTGTTGATAGTATTTCAAATATATCTAAGAGTATCCCGCAATCTGAGGAATGGTTATCCACAAATTATACCGTGATGAACAGTTCTTTCTCCAAATTCAAACTGTTAACCATGACTGAACTGAGAAAGATTATTTATTCCTTAGATGATAAAAACAAGTCCGAAGTACTTAATAGCAAATTTTTAAAAGAAACATTCGAGGTATGGGTATGAGATATTAAACTTGGTAAATACATCTCTGGATAAAAGAATATTTCCAGATCAACTGAAGATAACTTCTGTTATTCCCATACCAAAGGTTAGTAATACAATTGAAGCAAGCGAATTTCGCCCAATAAATACTTTACCAACTTTGGAGAAAGTCCTCGAACTAGCAGTTTACGAACAATTAGTTGCATATTTTGATAATGATGAATTATTCTTAGGTCAACAATCAGGATTTAGAAAAAATCAGTCCTGTGAATCAGCTATTCAATATACTTTCTCTAGATGGAAAAATGCGTATGATGGAAATAAATACACCGTAGCTGTCTTTCTTGACTTAAAGCGAGCATTTGAAGCAATTGACAGAAACATTTTGTTAAAAAAATTAAATTATTATGGGTTAACAGGCTCTGTGCTGGCTTGGTTTCTTAGTTATCTTAGTGAAAGAAGACAGAAAACAAAAATTGGTTCAAAAATATCTGATGAGATAAGTATCATCATCGGTGTTTTCCAAGGAAGTGTACTGGGCCCACTTTTATTTATTATATACCTAAATGATATTCATTATGTTCCTGAGGCACATTAACTTAATGTGTTTGCAGACGATACATTAGTTTATACTTCGAATACAGAACTAAATGGTGCTGTAGATACTCTCAAAGGTTCTATGAAGAATATCGAAAAATATTTACATGTAATTAAATTAAAATTAAATGCATATAAAACAAAAGTTATGGTGATAACCAAATATAAACTGAACTCTATTGATTAAAATGAAATAAAGATTGAAATTGGTAACACTACCTTGGAATATGTGTCTAAAATAAAGTATCTGAGAGTTATTGTAGATAACACTTTGAGTTTGAACAGTCATGCTGAATACGTTATAAAAAAAATACTCCATGGTCACCAGTGGATTTAATAATATGTTCTACAATTTTGATCCTGTCAGTTGTCTCTCCTGATGTAATTTCAGCGATATATCTTTTACCGTTAGAACATGATATGTTAATCAATTCAGCAAGAGAAAACAATGATATACTGTTGATCCAAGATAAGTAAACTGTAAGAGATACAAAGTCGGTAGAATTAGGAAAATGTTGCCCATTTTAGTTCTCTTTGGGGATATTTTAAAATTTAGAAAAGTCCAATTATGTGTGATACATCAGCGAGGCTAACTATCGAAGAATAGTAGATATTTTCAATGCTCTTTTCAAGCAGAACAATGTAAGTCACTGGTCAACCAATCGTTTATCCAAAATATTGGAGTTCTAATTAATTTCAATAGACAGATGTATGGGAAAAAGTTGAAAATCACAATAGAGCATAGTTAGGAAGATAGGAATTTGATGTTTTATAGTGGAAACACTGCCTTTTCAAACCGGATTTTCGGACCAGTTATAGAATAAAGTGCAATCCATCTTTAACAGTTGAAGTTGTTAACAGTGAAATAAACCTTATACCCTAAAGTTACGAAACAATTGCAACATGTGGAATTGAAAAATAAAACTAAGGAACGAAACCCATTCAAAAATAATTACAACTCAACTCAACGAGATCAATTTTGGGAAAACTATAAAATTGTTAGAAATCAGTATNACATCTTACAATCTCAACAACATGAATATCCTACAAGATCAGGAAATCTGATAAGATCTGAGAGATTTAGACTGAGCACCTCACAAAATAATTCATTGAATTTGAAATTCTATAATAAGTTACCATGTCACATAAAACAACTCAGTTTCTACTGTTTCAAGCAAAAACTGAAGTCATTTTTTTTGAATCACTGTTTTTATTCTACAGATGAATACTTGTTATACAACATAGATAATTCATGTGACTTTGAGTGAGTAACAATTGTTCTCATTCATACATTTTTGTGTTTTGACTTGCTACAAATATTTGTTCAAATGTATCACGTAGCCAATAAACTATTCTATTCTATTCTATCCTATTCATACAAAGTTATGCGACAATCTTTTTTTTGATTGATTTTCAATAAATGTTCATTTGATATTTCAAAAAGTTTTTGCAGATCATAGTTGAGGGAATATTCTGCTGCTGCAGTAGTATTTGATGGGTTAAAGGAAAATTATATTTGCGTGTCGTCTGCGTATAGATGATACTTGCAACTAGTTAATGACTTTACTATGTAGTATAAATTGCATAAAATAATGGACCCAAAATACTCTCTTGAGGTACACCAGTGGTGACAGTAGTCGCCGTCGATGTCTCATTTTTATACACCACTTGCTGTAATCTGTTCGTTAGGAATTTTATCAAATCGCAAGCTCGCACAGAAAAGCTGATATGATTTAGAATTGTCAATAGAATTCTATGATTCAACATATCGAACGCTTTTGTGTTGTCTAGGAGTACCAGGATCGTTGCCTTACTTTTGCCCATTCCCCTCAGAACATCATCTGACACATCAGTCAATGCCGAGCTACAGCTGTAACCTGGCCGAAAACCTGATTGTTTCGCTGGTAGATAATTTATCGAGTTGATAAATGGTACTATTTGAGACTCAATGGCTCTTTCGAGCACTTTTGAAAGAACACGTAGAATCGATTTCCAAGATATATGATCTTCTTAAAATTTACCACACTGCTGCAGTCTTCAAAGTTGTTGCCTGATGGTTATGATGAATACACAATTTAATACACAGTGAAACATGATACTTTTCAGTGTATTTTATAGGACAAATACACTACACAGAATGGGGGAGATACTTATGACCGGCCATGGTTCTCTTTGTGTACTGTAAATGAAAATATATTTTTTATAATGATAAATGCGTTCAAAACAAAATTGTATTTTATATATTTATTGCTAATCTCAATTTTCTAAAACTGCCAATTGGCACTTCAAGCTTTTTGTTTATGTGTGAAATGGTTTTTAAACGGCTACTAAAAGTATTTTCCAATGTGTTTCTAATCTCGTGATCATAGTCTGCTCCATCAGCAAAAGTAAATTTATGACCGCAACTATAAACAGTTCTTTCACTTTTTCTTTTGGCATTGCATTATATATCTTTTCACGTCATACTGTGTAACGGTATGTTCCAATATATAGGAACATTAATATGTCTATTTTTTTATACTTTTTAAGATGGAAAAGCAAGTTTTTTTTCTGTACTAGGTATTTTGATCTTGTTTTTATGCTAAGGAATATACCTCAAGATAAATCAGAATTAGGGTTTATTAAAGTGTGCATTACATTTTTCATACAGAGTACGTTATCATTGAACATTTATTATTTCAGGGCTGGCTACCTTCTGGAACTGTAGCTAGGGTAGAACCAAATCAAAAGTGGTTTGGCAATAGTCGCGTTATATCACAAAATGCACTTCAAAAATTCCAAACTGAGTTGGGAGCTGCAATAAAAAACCCTTACCAAGTCATCATGAAACCCACAACTCTGCCCATAACATTACTCAATGAAAAGGCTAAAAATGCCAGGGTTCATTTGCTAGACACCGAGAGTTTTGACAGTGTTTTTGGACCCAAAAAAATCAGAAAAAGGCCCAATTTACCTGTAAAGGGGTTAGACGAATTGACACAGCTCGCTGACAAGAAAGCTGACGAGTACAGCCTTGAAAAAGATTCCAATATTGTGAAAGATGATGGTGGAGTACGGGATATGCCTCGAGATTGGGTAATGGCAGCAGGGCAGTCAAGAAGAATATGGAATGAACTTTATAAAGTAGTAGACAGTTCAGACGTCCTGTTACAAGTATTAGATGCAAGAGACCCTATGGGAACTAGATCGTCTTATTTGGAAAAATATTTGAAGACTGAGAAACCTCATAAACACCTCATCTTCATTCTAAACAAAGTAGATCTTGTTCCCTGTTGGGTGACTCAGAGATGGGTTGCTATCCTGAGTAAGGAATATCCGACTGTGGCTTTCCATGCCAGCATAACACATCCCTTTGGAAAAGGTTCCCTCATCAATCTATTTCGACAATTTGGTAAGTGATTTACTAGTAAAGTGAAATTATACATTATAAAATTAGAGACATATTTTGAAAAACAATCTTTTCCTTTATAGGTAAACTGCACATAGACAAAAAACAAATATCAGTTGGATTAATAGGATATCCAAACGTAGGCAAGTCATCTATAATCAATACTCTTCAAGGAAAGAAGGTGTGTAAAGTAGCTCCGATTGCAGGAGAAACTAAGGTGTGGCAATATATCACTCTCATGAAAAGAATTTACCTAATTGATTGCCCTGGAGTAGTATATCCTTCTGCTGAAACTGACGTGGAAAAAGTTTTGAAAGGCGTTGTGCGTGTTGAATTGGTGAACAATCCCGAGGATTATATTGCTACTGTTTTGGAAAGAGTGAAACCACAGTACATTGAAAAAACTTATAAAGTAGATTCCTGGAAAGATCACATAGACTTTTTGGAGAAGATGGCTCAAAGGTCAGGTAAACTACTCAAAAAGGGTGAACCAGATATCACTAGTGTCGCAAAGATGGTTTTGAATGACTGGCAGCGGGGCAAATTACCATTTTACTGTTCACCTCCTGGATATGAACAACCTTTGCAAAATTCCAAGGAGTCTGTACAAGACGAACCTCTTAGCGTAGTTCAAGATTTCAGAAAGATTCATGTTGGGTTTACTTTTGAAGGCGAAGACATTAAAGAACTGGAACCTATCAAAGACATAGAGAAAGCTGTTATTGAATATTCAGAAGAAAAATCAGAAACTAGTACCAATTTGGATGAGAGTGAAACGAATAAGGACTTAGATAAAAGTATCACAAATTCTGAACAGGATGAAGATGACTCTGATTCTGACATCAGCTTCTACTCAGATATGGATACTAGTGAAAGTAAAAGCAAAGTATATGCTGAATGTACCAGTGGGACATTTGAAGTGGAGGATTTATCAATGGAAGCAATTGAGCAGAATACAAGGCAACATAAACAATCAGGTGACAAAAAGTTGACAAGTAAGCAGAAACGAGCAACAGAGAGGGCTCAAAAAAGGAAGAAAATTGGGAGCAATTTCTATGAAGTCACAAATGTTAAAAACAGAAATAGAAACAAGAAAAAGAAAGTTGTTTGAATATATAGTCTTTTATATAATGTACATAAATATATATAATTTTGTAGAAGAGTTATCATTTGTTTCAAGCCAACACTAGATGAAGTGAAACACAGAATTAAATGTAGAATGAATGTAAAAACACTAGAACTGTAACACTTTTCCTTATGTACGTTTTAACAACTAGATGACATCAGCAGATTATACAAGATCTTATTGCCAGACCCATGTCTTTTTACCAAAGTTAATATGTTGACAATACATGAGTATCAAATTAAAATATACTTTATTGTCCGAAGATTTGCATCTTATTGACAAAGTCCAAGAAATACAATGTTGATATAGAAAAAGTACTAAAAAAGTATAAATGTAGATATAAAAAAGTTCCAAAAATGTATAAATGTAAATATAAAAAAGTTCTAAAAATGTATAAATAAAATACCACCTTGTATAAAGTGATAGTACAAATAATAAATTGCTAATATATTGTTGAAACAATTCGCTAAAATACTCTTCCAAACTATAATAGGGTCTGCCAACAAGTAGGTTCTTCACTGCCTTTTTGAAATGAGTGTTGCTTAAATTTACAGATCTCATTTCTAATGGTAAATGATCGAACAATTTACCATCATTATAGTATATGGAATCCTTGATTAAATTCGAAGTTGGGATGGGAAGTCTAAAGGTATAATTGCTATTTTGAGTAGCATAAGGAGTAGAAGCAAAGTTGAACTTCGATTCATGTTTATAAAAAAGGCAAACCATCTCTAAGATAAAAAGTGCGATGACTGTTAACATTTTATTGGCAGTGAACAAATTCTTGCACGATTCTCTGGGTTTGACTTTACAGAAACATCTTAGTGCCCTCTTCTATAATATCAATACAAAAGAGATGAGTTGCATGCTCCCCCAGACTAACAGAAAATAATTGAAGATAAAAATGGAAAAATACTGTCAGAAAAGTTTGATACAGAATACTTTTCGAGATGAAACTTATAGCTTGGATAATGAATTATTAAACTTGAAGAAAGTGTGGCAAAAATGTGTATACCTTAGCATAACTTTCATCCAGAAGTGATGTACTTTTTATTGTGAAACATCCTGGACTTAAAGTTTGAGGTAGTAATGCAAAATGCTGGGTGGTAAGGTAAAAAAAGGCAAACATTGGAAATTTTCCAAAATTCTTGTTGGGAGAGTCTCAAGTCTGTCAACCCCAACGTAACATTGAGAATCATTTATTTCGCTTCTATTATTTTTCAATTCTATGGTGTGCACCAGAATGTATGCTCTAAATTACCACCTAAAAATGAATATAAAAAATGTCTGATTCAATGGCCACAGGTGCAGAAAGTATAGAAAAAAAAAGTCAAAAATGGTTTATTCAAAAAAACAGTACAAATTTCATAGAAAATATCACTTTTGATTTCTTACAATCAGTAACAAGAGAAAATGCAAAAGGCGCATTTTCCATGTCTGTTTCCATATAATAAAATTGGATACTCCTAGACAGACTACTTAGAACTAAGTGTTCTAGAAAACTTGGAACACATAAATAAATAATAATTACTAACTAAAAAATTGTTTCAAACTCATTGACCGAAGGCAATAAGCCAATTAACAGGCATTCCAGATTCCAAAACGCCAAACAATTTTTCAACTCTTGTGTGATTAAAGATACATCTAAAGTTAAATTTGAATAATATCAATTCCTTTCTGTTTCCCCTAAAAAATTTTAATTTTCCCTGATAATCGGCTTATAAATCAGAAATGGTTACAGTCAGAGTTAAACCCACTTTGTACAAACTCGAGGACAAATTACTTTATCAGTCTTGAGTTAACATAAGTAAGAAAAGTAGCACAGAACAATTATTCAATGTTAAATTGCGACACATAGGAACAAATCGCAAAATTCATAATGTCAGATCAATTTCATTTGTTAATAAATACACAATAAAATGTTTTGCTGAATGTGAAATGATAAAGGTTAGATAGACACCCACCCTCATCAACAGAAATAAAAGACACTTATTTATACAACTCTTCACATAACAACACTTGGCCTAGAGCAGCTGATTAAATTGGTTTAGGTGTTGTAAGTAAAAAAAACGTGTGAAGTTTTATATTTGTCAATACTTTTCCAACTAACAGATAAGCTAATTAACTCAAACAATGATTTGTCAACTGAAGAATGAAGCAAAAAACAGGAAAATAAGTAAATGAGCAAAACTATTTTCCCATCGTCATCAACAAAATAATTATCAATCATTGAATGTATTTGTTCCATGCTACTTTGAAATATCACATTTCATAATGCTTTGATTCCATGAGATTTCAGCAATTCTCTTAAATGCATAATCTCTTCGTCTTTTTGTGCAAGTTGCACCTTCAATTGTTCCACTTGTTGAGTTTCTGTTGATTTTAAAGTGTTCAGCAGTGTTGTTGTATCAGGTCTTTTTTCAGGATCTCTAACTACCAACTCACTAATAACTTGTGTTATATCAGGATACTTGACAGAGAGATTTGACGGAATATGCCCTTTTCTGAGATCAGTTATTTTGAGAACACGTTCCATATCCGTTCCAAAATTTTCAACCAATTCAAACAGAACGATTCCCAGAGAATATATGTCGCTCTAAAAATAATGTTTTCATTAAAACAAATTAAAATATGATGAAAATGTGAATACACTTCATTTTATCTTATGTTGAATATAGTGAAAATATTTATATTACTATAATTCCATTTTTGGACAAAGCATTCAAATAGGCAAACAACCATGGATAAATATTAGGAATTTGTTGCCTCTTGTCAATATAGTGTAGCCAAGAACGTGAATGGGCGATACTTGGTTGCACAAAACACATACAAGCACATTCAGCAACGAAGATGGATTTTCTTATAAATGTATAGCAGTAACTCCTTACTGATTTTTATTTTCATCTAAGGCTATCAATTTTGGCAAGTCTTAATTTTAATCATAATTAGTAAATATCTGATAGTCTAAAATGTGTATGTAGTCCAATTAGATGTCAGGTGTAACTGTAGAGTTTGTCTTACTTTGAAAACAAATCCAAAGAGTCAATTATCTGAGTTCATATGAATCAATAAAGACCGTTATTCTAAGGGGGCTAGTAGCTAACAGGTTAGCATAAATGAGATGAATGCAGGGTTTCGTGATGAGGAGATTTTACATGACAGCATGCATGAAAGGAATATATTTCAATTTTGTGACGGTTTTTCTTTTGCTGGAATTTCATTTTTGATGTAGGGGATAAATGGGTTATGAAAAATAAATAACTTTTTTGGTTCTAGAGACGGAAAATTTGAAATTTTAATTTAGAATATGTTGAGTTTTTATAAAGGATATCAGAGATCAAACCGTGACTGAAGACTATCGAGGAGAGGTACATACTATAAACTAATTCTTGGTATACCAATGGGAGTTCCTATTATAGCTCGGTATGTAATGGACGATATTTTTGAAAATACACTTCTCAAACTAAGTTTTGAAAGTTCATTTTCAAAAAAATACTTTGACGATGTCATTTGTGCAATACTATATGACAAATCTCATGAAATTCTTGATGTTACCCATAGATATGATAAAAAATTACAATTCACAATTCACTATCGAAATAGATAATAACATTCTTCTGATAGGTACATAAAACACACTTCTCAATTCGTATTTTAAGGCTGAATTAATATTCTCTTGCATTCTTGCTTTGAGTGAAAATTGTATTGCAACATTGCATTGCAAAGAACTTCATGTAAAACTCTATTCAAACTTTTAGAAAAAGCACTACATAAATATAACCGATTAAGCAAATATTAAAATAAAAAATTGCCAACAAGTAATAAAATTAGATGAATTCATGAAAGGTAAAATTGGAACCTCTGGCGTAGAATAAATCTAATACACTGTTTTCCCATTCACAAAAAATGTAAGACACTTCTCGAGATGAAGAAAACTAGGTGGAGTGTCGAGAAGATTATTGCATTTCTGGTGAAAAAGTGCTTGTTTATTAGATAAACCAAGATTAAGATACAGTTGGATTGACGACAAAATACACATGAATCACCAAATTGTGCATCCGATATGTGTCGACAAACTAATGAAAACAAAATGGTGTGACTAACGCTTCAAACAACCCCACCTTTCAATGAAAGAAAGCTTTTTTTTAATTAATACATTAATAGTTATATTCCATTTTTCTACTTCGATATCTGGAAATTTAAAAATTCCCATATGTGGAATATAAGACAGAGATATTCCTGGGTTGAAACTTATAACTACAATATAAAATTTACTCGATATGAAATATGAAGTGCCTACAATTTATATATTGTGAATACAACAATTTATGTAATAGATATAAAAGAATTGAAATCATAAAAACTTTTTAATAAAAACTATGTAAACAATTCAAAGTGCCAAATGATATTAATGTCATCAAATGGTCTCAAAATCCAAGAAAATTGTTTATTTACTCATTCATTAATGTAAATCCTCCAGTTCACACAATATTGGGTAAAATATACATATATAATAAACCCTAATATGGCTAAAACTAAGAGAAACACGCTAACAAGAAAAAACAATGATTGGGAGACCTGGCAAACACAACTTGGTCTGAAACTTCAATAATTCAAAGGACACAACTTAGTATAGAGTCATTGCAGACCAGAAAACCAACATGGAGATTCAGCGATATACAGGCTGATTCACGGTGGGTGCCACATTAGACGTTTCTGGTGACCAGACAGCAGATCACTTTCCAAATGGAGTACATATTCGGACATTCTCTACCCAACTTAAATATTTTCAGAAGTGCGGTGTTGCCACTCCCATTAGAAGGTAGTAGCAACTTCGATTTTTCAAATGAAACACCCTGTATATAATTTTATTTTTGGAATCTACAACAATTACCCAACAACTTTTCTCGATATTTCCCTATACCTATCTGTTACCGTTTTTGAAATATTGTAACCTTTTTTTTATCAAAAGGTACACTTGCACAGAGCTCTTAGTCAGGAAGCTTCTTTGGGTCGTGAGTAGGAGGAAACTAAAAAAAATTGATTTCGAATCGGGCGTCACCGGATTTAAAACAGTAGTATTTCAGAATTTTGCCAACCACGGAAAACAAAATTCATATTATATGACGTAAAAAAA